CAGAAAAAAGCAGACAGACATCTGTTCTGTCCGGGAACACAAGGAGCATACTAATCACAAGCTACTGCTTGGTTGGAACAGTTCGGCCTCAGCCAGCCTGCAGTCACCCCAGGAGCAAGGGAGGCCACCCCCCACGAGTCCTGCCTCTCATCTGTGAGTGAACAAATTATATGGAGCCCCTTCTCCATCACTGTCCTCTCCTCCACTTGGAGATCCTGGATTCCAGGGACAAATCTGAGAACTGAGACTGCAGGCTGAATCTCGAGCTTTTCATTCCCTAACCCTGACATAATACTCTCTTCTCTCCTCCTTTTATCCCAATCTCATTCACCTGGCAAGGCTTATCCCCAGATCCACATCCTTCATTCACTGATTTATTCATTTACCAAAAACAAGTACTTACTTTATACCAAGTGATGTACTAGTCATTGTGCAGAATTCAAAGCGAATTGTGGGTAGATCCTTCCTTCACGATGTTTACAAGCCTGGAAAGCAAACAAATACATAAATAATGCCAATAGAAGGCCAAAAAAAAAAAAGTGGTGGTACCATAAGACAGATAAGACAAGATGCTGTATGGGTTCAAAATAAAGAACAATGACCTCTATTCAAGTATATCAAAGAAGGCTTCATTGAAAAGATTTGGACTTGACGAATGAGCAGCACTTGGGGTCACAGATATGGAGGAAGAAGCACAAAGAACCACCAAAGGAAATAAAGGAAAGGAAGAATGTGCAAGCTATGTTTACAGAACACCAAATACATTCAGTGTGATGAGAAATGAACTTAGGATGGAATCAGGAAATATCTACATAGGCAGGTTAACGTCTAATCACAGCATCCCTTCTGGAAAACAACTCGAGCATCGACGACCTCTCCTGACCCCTCTTCTCTGTGACTTTCCATAACACTTCTGTCTGCATCTCACCCTCTGTGCTCTGATTGGCAGCCATTCCATAAATGTGTGTTGAATAATGAATTAATAAGACATTCACTGGTAAATGTTTTTATGTAACATAACCCAGGGAAATTGTGAGTATATTCCAAGTGAAAACTTAGTTGCTTCAAAATGATCACCTTTGTTCCCTAAGGTTTGCAAAACTAATAAATAAAACCTATGGACTTGAGAAAGGCAAGATAATAGTGATAATTCACATTTAAGGGCATCTTGACATGTGTAAACCATTTGCTTTATCTCAAGTTACTTCAGACAGAAGGAACGAAAGGCAGATGTGCTACGGGACCTTGGAAGGCCTGTGTTACCCCCTGGCTCCTGGATAGGCATATCCCCCCCAGCCCCCCAGCCCCCGTGACACCTCATCAGAAACATCCACCGAGAGGCCAGAGATAGCATGCATTTAAAATAGACCTGGTGAAAGAGGAAATGAAGCAAATGGAGAATGCTTGGGGAACTGAGAAGACTTGAGACTCCCAGCTGAAAATATTTATAAGCTCCCAAAACATTCAGCTAAATCATCACCACCATCATTATCAGCATCATCAATGCTATAATTTACTGAGTACTTACTATGTACCAGACATTGTGATAAATGCTTTATAAATAGAATTTCATTTACTTTTCCTACCATATGAAGGAGATATTCCTATAACCATTTTATAGATGAGGAGAATGAGGTAATCGGAGGTCAACCGTGCCCTTCCAAAGCCTAACCTCTGGTAGAAGTGTGACTGAGAGCTCCTGGATTTTTTGCATGTGTGCTGATTCTTCCTGTCTTTCAAGGATGAAAACACAACAGCCATGTCACAAGGATCAACAAATGTTCATCAGGTCCACTCACTGAATATGAGAAAAGCAAGCTAACAAGCAACGTGTCAAAACTCCTTAAAGATGTACATTTTGAAGACCAGGAAGGACCTACAGGTTTCAACGGTGTCGAAAAGTAGTGTTGAAACTTGGGGCAAGAGCTGAGAACCAGAAGAAGCGAGAACACACAGCCATCCCTGTGGTTCCTTCCCCTCGAAGCATTTGCTCAGCATTTGCTTTGGTCTGTCCCCTGTTTAGTAAAACTGGAGTTGCTTCTTTGTGTTTTTCAGGCAAAGTATCCCTTTTACCCTAAGTCCCGTCCAGGAGATGAATCTATAGATTCCAGTCCTCCTCTCCCATGCAAGAGATGTGTGACCTGTGACAAGTCATTGTGAGCCTCTGTCTTTGTGGGTGCAAGCCACTTCTCCCTATACCTCGGCCTCCTTGTAAACTGTAAAATTGGGATAATAAAGAATACCCCCTACACACACACAGAGCTGCTGTGAGGATTTAATATGCTTATAATTAATAGATATATTAATGTGCCTAAAGCAGTGCCTGCCAGGCACATAGTAAGCACTAGGTAAACTGAGGTGTTGTTATACTATGTGTAGAATGGCTGGGCAAATATTAACTATTTCAGCAATCATTTCCATTAAATGCCACTTACCAGGGGTCTGCAGAGTCTCCCGAAGCAGGGGTCACTGTATTTACACGCTAACCTGCCCACACCTACACACATTTTCTGAGACGTTTCACAGGTGATTTCTAGTGTGTTCTTGCTTTCACGCATCTGTGTGTGGGGGTTGTTGTTTCTTTTTTTTTCTTGAATATCATCACTGAATTCACACTCTACATCGTTCTTCCATCGCGCCCATGGGGAGTCCCTGACGTTGGGGTCAGGGGCAAGGTGAGGGACTCAAAGTGCCCAGTGGTGCCAAAGCCAGAAGGTTCTTTCAGCAGGGCCGCGCTCTGCCAGCCCAGCGGAGCTCCTCGCCTCGCGTGCCTCATCAAGGACAAAACTCAGGGTCCAGAGACACCTCTGCATACCCCAAATGTATCCCAAATGGGGGGGTGTATGCAAGAAGCACACCTCAGGTCGGCCTGCCTTCTCCACTTAAAAAATACCGTGTGGTGCACCTGCTGGGCCAGACACCGGGGGGGGGGGGGGGGG